GTCCAACATGAAAGAAACCGGAATATTGGAGCTTCGTGCAACAACAACAGAAACATTAACAACAATGACCAATGAGAATTAATTTACCTCTGCGCTACGCACATCAAATGCTTCGGGGACAATGCCTTGAAAAAGTGTAAATTCCACATCCACCGCGCAAGCAGGCTGGCTGGCTGAGTATAGTAGCGCTCTGCTGTTGTATGCGCGGTCTGTTTACAAAGGAGAAGCCTCCGCTCCATTTCCCCGGGAATATTGCTCATCGACTGCAGGTGGTTAATTTGGCCCTGACTCTCACGCGCCAGCACAAAGGGCATCCGCGGCTGCGAGTGTTCGTAGTGAGTGGGTGGGACGTAGCGGCCAAGCGTTCCCCGTGACGCACGCAGCAGCAGCAGCAGCCGCGCTTCAGAGGCTTGCACCCGCAGCCGGCGTGGGGCCTGGCTGAAGGTGGGGACCCTCGGGGGTTGGAGCTGACAGTCCCAGGAATCGCCTGTACAGGGTGGCGCACACGTAGGCAGGCACCGCACCAGCGCGGTGTGAATATTAACGTAAAGGCACAGCCCTGCAGTGTCACGCTAGCGCCACTGGTTTACAGAATGGCCTCCCCGAGAGGGTTCTCTAAGAGAGCACCTCTGGAGAAGTGTGGCCTGCTCTTCCACACTGGCTAAGGCATCTTAGAAGCAACTAAAACCAAACAATGTTTTCATTTTAACTAGGTATGGCCCACTGACCTATACAGCTGTTTTGCAAAAGCAACCTGGCCACAAATGATAGCTCAACGAAGTGGCTTATCACGTGGAAATTTACATGAGCCAAATACTCTAAAGGGGTGTTTATAAATGTGGAGGGAAAAAAACGTTCATTGTTGTCACATTGGAGCAGGGTTTATTTTCTTAGTGGAGGATTGGTAATGTTTAGCTGGAGAAAGAAATGACAGCCCGAGATGAGACCATGTCAAGGCAGAATGTTAGATTGGATAGATATGCGACAAAAAATGTATACCACATTATAAAACGTCAGAAGTATGTGTTAGAGGCTGTCATTAATTGTTAAACTATTATAAATAACTGTTGACAATTTTCAAAAAAAATTAAGATAAAAACGCGTATTGTTGAAACGTCCCAAACCTGGCAAGATTAAAGAAAACAAAATTTCTCATCGAACTTTTGTTGCCCGTACAATGTTTGAAACTATTCCAAAAATGTCTCTTCGACTCGGTGGGTGAGTTGAAGCCCTGTCTCCTGACCCAATTCTGCCCACGACTCAGCAGTTTGCACGTGCACGGTGCAGTGTATCGAGTATCTGTGCAGTCACCCTTCAGCATCGAAAAGACAAAGAGGGCCTTTAGCAAAGAAACACGGCCCGATAACTCACCCCCCCCCTCCGACTCACACAGCATGCACTTACCACTGTTAACGCCACCTACCGCTGTTCCTAATGCCAACACGCTCATCATCATCAATGCCTCGTGTGCCTTATAGCCTCGCTGCACTGCTGCTATCCACAGTTTGTTGAGCAGCATCAGTTAACGGCTTTGCAGGCAAGGGAACTTTTCCTAATTCAAACGAAGCAGCAGCTCCTTGCAAGGCTGTGCACCGTTCTTGGGACGCACATGGGCTTGCCAGTGTGTGTGTCTATAGGGAGCAGTCATGCAAGGATTAGCACGCTGCGCTACGAACCCGGCGACGATTCTCTGAATTGGTTCTGGGCCTCTCCTAGGTCGACTCAACCTCATGAGTACCTGATACGATGTGTGAACATCGCCACTGGGAAGAAAAAGACGGCCGGGCGTGGTGCTGGCCACCCATCCCCTAACAGCACTTGCCCCAACAGTTTGTTAAGGCTATACAGGGGAATGGTTGTCTTTGTCAATCCCTCCAAAGTTACAATTTCCAAAAAGCTATTTGCTAACACTCGGAGTGCCACCACAGTCAGACTAACGTCACGCAGCGTTCAACTCCATTGACCCTGCGGTGAAACTCCCTCTTCCCATGACATGGGCCAGTATGTCCTCGACAGGACAACCCGCTGTTGACTTCTCACAGTGTGGTTCTCGTTTGATCATCCTAGGAGGGAGGATGGACTAATTCTATCCCTGGTTGGTATTTTGCACTCATTTCAAAGTTTGAGTGAGGCACTGCTGCAGTGCTACAGAACCAGGTTATAACAATGTTTTGACAGCATAAATTAAACTGCAGATGTGGCCAGGTAGATCAGTGCGCTCATGCTAGTGCTAGAGCACGGAATTGGCGCCACTGAGATGACAGGCTTGAATTTAACTTGATGGCCTCAGCCCAGTCGCTAATAGTTGAAAAAAGCCATAATATAAATTCCGTTTTTTTTTCCCACTTAATTTGACACATTCCACAACTGAAATATTATTCATGTTTGCGGTTTAAATCCCATCTTATGAATACAACGAATGCGACGAATGCTGTTTGCTGGAAATATGGAAATGTGTTCTACCTCCTGTGGATGAGAAGCCGATTGAAGTGACTTCAGAAGTAATTTCTGTGATGCCATTTTACCGAGGTCACTCTCTTGACACAATGTGGTGCGCAGCTCACTGGGAGAGTCCTGGATGGGAATATATATTCTTCTGATGACTTGACACTGCTGGCACGGTTGTAACTACAGTGTTCCCCTGTTATTTGCGAGGGATACGTTCCGGAGATGCTCGTGAATAGCAAGTTTTGTGGAGAATGATACGTTGGCCTTTTTCATTAATTACCTTAAATAAATGCATAAATAAGCTATTAAATAGATGGACATTATCAGCACACAACATTTGTTATAATTAACAGAATATATATAAATATGAAAGTATTAAATCACAGTTTCTAAATTAACTGGCCTTAAATTATGACTTATCGCTTTATCTCATCAGTTTCTCGAATCAAATTGTTTCTATACTCTTTGGTTCTATTGGGTAAAGTCACGTAGGGGAAAATAAAATAACAAAAAATCACAAATCTAGAACAAATTGTTTCTCTCGATGCAGTCGTGTAGAGTTCCAGATGCGATTCGCAGATAGCCAAATTCGCAGATAACAAGTTCGTGAATAATGAGGGAACACTGTCGAGTAGTTGTGAGAAAATTGTAATTTGAAAATTTTGTGTATTTGCTTATAATTTGGCGTTTCACAGCTTTGAGGAGCTTATTCTGCAGAAAAACACAGAATTAACCTCTTACTCACCTAGACAGCTCGAGAGTCATTGCTGGTAGTGGTGGTAAGATAGAGCCTTGAAAGAGCTCAGATGAAAGCCTGTCATTTTGTTTCCTTGTCCCTCCAAAATGTGGTGTGTTTCTCCAATGTTGCGGAGTTTTGGGAAGGAAATTGCGTCTCCATTTATTTTGGTGGAGGCATCTTTAGCGGTGAAAAATGTGAGCTGTGCGCGCGTTTGTAAAATGTGGTTCGGCTTATTAGGAGCCCGATTAGCACGGTTGGCTACGTACGGTGTAAAAGAAGTCCTATATACATACGAGTCAACATTTTACTCTTTTGTGCCTGGGCTTCAATGCTTGGGAAAAGTGCTATGAGGCCAATTGTGCTTCATGAGGTATGTCTTTTTTTTTTAAAGGAAGCATTAAACAGAAGTTCCACCTCTTCAAAGACATCTGGCCAGAAATGGAAGAATATCCCCAAAAATGTCCTCTATTGAGTGGCTCTCTGGAGCTCCGTCTAGCGCAGGTCCCTTTGTCCCCGGTCCCAACGGTGACGACAATTGGAAATGCTAAATGCACCGCGCAGGAAAAAAGAGGTTCGCATCTCCTGGCTGTAATTCCACCACATGTCACAGTGCCCCCTACATTACCCTGCCAGGCAAATTACTAATAATTACCACTTCACGTGTCATGCAGGGGACGACCGGTGGAGGAAATATTTGTATCTCGGGAGAGCAATGTCGGCGGTTGGCTTTAAAAAAAAAAGTGTGTTTACAAGATGCTTATTAAGCGTGTGTTATGCTCAGTTTGTTCGTACTATTACTCAGCAGGTGACGCGTGGTGCAGATGTATACAAAAAAAAACCAAGATAAAACGATACGAATGCTGGAATTAAATTTAAATGGATGTAAGCTGAAAATTGCGCAAAGAAGCTGGCAGAGATGCGTGCTGGAAATTTGCATGGAGAGACAGCGGCGGAAGGACACGTGGATTAGAGAGCGCACGCTGCGTAAGACAATCCAAACTGTTAGGAAAAGCGAGTGGCTCGGGCATGGACTTCCCCTCGAGGGACCGATTGTCAAGCATAGAGATGGAGTGGCAGCCAAGGACTGGAACGCGTCTGAGAAAACACGTCGGTCGCGGAGATGGAGCGATGAAATCGGCTCATGTGCGGGTGCTGGGTGAATAGCTTCATGGTGGCGTTACAGGAGATGGTGGCGGCATGGGGAGGCCTTCATCCAGCAGTGGATAGAACATGACTGATTGAACATGGCGCCACGGTGCTGAGATGTTAACTACCCCGCCAAGTATACAGGAGGTCTTGGATATGATCCCGACCCTGACACCTGTATTATATGGTCATGTGGGTTTTTCTCCGGGTCTTCCAATTATTCCCTCTAAATTTCTAGTGAACGTGCGTTTAGAGTATTTGGCTGCTATACATTTCCACGTGATAAGCCACTTCATTGAGTTATCATTTGTGGCCAGGCCACTTCTGAAAAAGAGCTATAAATCTCAGTGTGCCTTACCTGGTCAAATAAAAAATAGTAAAAATAGTTTAATAGTTACTGCATTTTTTGCCACTGATTACGTAAGTGTATAAGTGTCTACGTTTCATGAGTGGCATACGTAATGCAGATCTTTCCTGTTGTCATTGACGTGAATTGTGCTCCTACCGACACTTGGGCTGCTTGTTGGTGTGCAGCGGCAGGGATATACCGTCAGCCGCGTCAACGTCAATTTCAGCCGCCCGGCCTTCGTGCGGTGCCCGGGTGTGCGTGCAGGAACACGGGCGTGCGGGCAGTGCCCCCCCCTGAGCGGTTGTGTTGCCCACGCAGGCGCGGGTGCTGGCCACCATCGGCGTCACCCGGGGCCTGGGCGACCACGACCTCCGAGTGTACGACTCCAACCAGCACATCAAGCCCTTCCTGTCCTGCAGCCCAGAGGTATGCGCGGTGACCGCCCAGAGCCCTCGCCCCACACCGTGCCCACCCACCGAGAGCCGCTTCTTCCGCAGTGAACCTTCACGGGTTGACTGATGATCCAGAATGGCCCCCATTCACTCCGCTCGCTCGGTGTGCCAGTAGTCAGCTCTTCATCGCTCGACTATCGCTCCTGCCATGGTTGCTCTTCCCGCGAACTTCAATTGTCGGTTCCTCCACACCGACAGTTTCGTCTCAACCACACCCCAGGTCACAACAGCATACTCTACCATTTTGCCTGCTATTTAACTACATTTATTTTACCAGTTAAGGCCCACTGGGCTTATGTATCTTTTGTTTCAAAAGCAACTTGGCTACCAATGATTGCTCAACGAAGTGACATATCACGTGGAAATTTAAAGCAGCCAAATACTCTAAGCGCATGTTGATTCTAAATGTGGAAGGAAAAAACAGAACCCAGAGAAAAATCCACGCAACCACGGAGAGAGAACATTCAAACTTCAAATATACAGACCTCCGGGTCGGGATGGAACCCACGACATTCTGTATACCAGGCGAGGTAGTTAACATCTCGCCACCGTAGTGCCCCACCAACTCTTTCCACTCGCCCACCAACTCATTCCCCCACTCTTTTCGATCACTGCGCTGCAGGTCACAACACGTCGCTTTCTGCTTCTACCCTCGCACTGCTTGTCTTTGTAATTCCCTCCCATCGTCTCGTTTATCAAGTGCGTATCACCTTGTGTTCATATTTATAAGACATTCAAAAGTGCTGTTTGTTGCTGGGCAACTTGGCATTTTGTGCCTTTGTCCCTGTGCTCAGCAAACGCGATTTTACATATATTTGCTTAATGTTAAGGAAAAACAATTCCTTGATTAAAACCACTTCTTAGGTTGACAATATATGCATTGAATCTTGTGTGCGTGCAATGATTGTTCATGAATCACGTGCTGTGTGTTTATGCCGCTATGAAGCAGATTATGTTGATTGATACCACAATATATTGTATGTCAATCGATTCCTGGCTCTCAATCATTACAAGTCATCACATGGTGGATCACTTCCTCCCTACTTAATGATCTCTAGCCTCGTGTCGCCCGGTACGTCCGCCACCGTCTCTGAGCTCACAGGGTCTCCCGTGCAACTGGTGCCCCCTATCAGAGCACGTGGCTGGCAACTGCCGAAGTTGGGAGGTCAACATCTCCAGAGACCACCTGAGACATTAACCGCTCAAGAAGAGACGGGTTGATAGTCTCAGCCCGATCACCAATAACGACTACACAAATGATGAGGTTTTTTTTTTCCCCGTTTAACTTCCCGTACCTCGGGATTTCAAAGCCTTTTGTTGTAAAACAGCATGAGAGCAACGTAACCACAGCGTTGTCTCGCGACGTGGTGAGAGAGATCACAATGGGGAGGAATCAACAATTTGATTGTTATTATTATTATTATTATCATCATACTCATTGCTTTTTTCGGTAAAGTCACGTGTGTGGAAATAAAATAAAATTTTAATAAAAAACCAATGAGTATAGTAATTTCTGCAGTCACGAAAGCTTCAATTCTAGATTATTATCATCATCATCATCCTCTGAAATTGTTCCTTTGCGAGGCGGTCGCTGTGCTACCAGTAGTCGAGGCCATAGTGGCTGTCGTCTTCACAGTGTGAGGTGACTCCCGTGGCACAACGGAAGCAATAAGACAGAGACGACACTTAGCAGCACGCAACAGCGGTTGCTTTTGAGAATAGGAAGCTGTACCACGCTGCATCGCGTACGCGGGTGTGGAGTTAACATCGGGTTGATTACGTAGCACTATAGTTGGCATTTAGCAGACTTCAATTATTGCATATATTTACAAAATAGGCATAGTAGCAAAGCCTATCCAGCCTCTTGTTCTGCTGCGCTATTTTCCTCACGCGTTAATTAAACATGTGAATGGCCATGAGAAGCGTACAACGTTTATGTGAATGCATATCAATAACGTGCAAACGAGCATTACACTGACTGACTGACTGGCAAAGCCACACGCAGCTGAGATATATTCCACGGAGATAAACAGCTTATAGTTTCTAACGTTTAAGGTTCTGAACCTCAGATACATCACATCATCAGCAACCCAAGCTTTCTGCTACTAGTGAGAGACTCGCAATTATTATTGGTGTCAGTGGAGAGCTTTTCAGCTTCAATTGTTGTTGTAATTTGTTTGTATTTTTCCCCCTATTAACACTCGCTCTGGTTATCGCTCTCTGTGCCTTTCTGTGAGTGGTTTTCGTATGTTGAAAATACATCAGAGAGTCAAATAGCACAACCGCAAAAAACCTCCGTTAAGGTTTCATCTTCTTTGGTTCTTTCGGTAAAGTCACGTAGAATGAGAATAAAATAATAAAATAAAACAATTAAATTCTCACGACGCTTCGGCCACAACACAAGTGGCCTTCTTCAGGTGTCGTCCCGACAGGTTTGTTCCTTTCACCTGAAGAAGGCCACTTGTGTTGTGCCCGAAACGTCGTGAGAATTTTTTTTTATTATTTTATTCTCATTCTTCGTGACTTTACCGAAAGAACCAAAGAAGATTAATCCTTGCAGTCACGAAAGCTTTAAATCGAAACTCCGTTAAGGTTGTAGCATTCTTACCCATGCCGCTGTGTTATTCTCTGCAGGCGTGGTGTGTGTGTGTGCGTGTGTGTGCGTGTGTGTCTGTGTGTGCGTGTATGCCTGTGTGTGTCTGGCAAAACAACCCCCTACCTCCTCGCGGTGCCGGACGGGCAACTCTGTCGTGGACAGTGCTGTGGGGAGAGGGCCAATTCCAATTGGCCCTCTCCCCTCATGGCGTCTGTGACCACCACAGTGGCTAAACGGGGGCTCTGGACAGGTGCGAGGGGCTGGTAACCTCTCCACCTTCAAATAATTACCACGAAACCATGACTTAAATATATAACTAATAAGCTTGTGCCAGAGGCCCCGGGGGGACAGGCGTCTATGGTGTCTCCTGGCCAAACCCCAATTGGCGGAGCCAGGAGATTGAATCTCTACCCTCGGGGCTCCTCCAGAAACAACGAAAAGCCACTTCGTGTGGCCACGTGGAATGTTCGAATGCTCACTGCGGAGGAGAGGCTGCCACTTCTCTGTCGGGAGCTGGACCGGTACCGCCTGGATCTCTGTGGCATTCAGGAGGTCCGGTGGACCGGTTCTGGCTCCTGCCACCATGAGGGTTGGACAGTTCTCTACTCGGGGCAGCAGACTGCCAAACAACAGGGTGTGGTTCTTCTTTTGAACAAAAGAATGAAGGGTGCGTGGGAGGGTGGCGGTGAGGTGTGGGAAGCTGTAAGCCCCAGGCTACTTTGGGCTCGCCTTCCCATCAACCGGAGGCGAGGAGTGGTGGTCGTGGTTACTTATGCCCCCACCGAAGATGAACATCCGTGGAGGGATGCAGGCAAGGCCGATGAGTCAGATACCTTCTATGACCTCCTGTGACAGGTGCTGGCTAAAGTGGCCCCTCGGGATAGAGTCATCTTGTTGGGTGACTTCAATGCCCGAGTTGGTCTTGATGCTGGCACCTGGTCTGGAGTGATTGGAGGGCATGGGCTAGATCAGCTCAACTACAATGGTAGGAGGCTGCTAGATTTTTGTGCAGCCCATGGGCTTGTACGGTAATTACCAACACGCTGTTCCGGCATCGGCGCATCCACACAACATCATGGATACATGCCGGGTCCAAGCAAGAACATCTGCTGGACTACATAGTGACGGACCAGCGGATGCGAGCCCATGTCCTTGACACCAGGACCTACCATGGAGCTGATCTGCCCTCTGACTATCGACTAGTCATCTGTAAGATGTGCCTGCCATTCTTCCACTCCGGTGGTGGGTGTACACCCAAGACCCCATTCCAACCTACAGTGGCCTGGTCTCAGTTAGCTGATGAAAGTTGCAAGCGAGAATTTCATCATCGCTTGTGGCTGGGGTTGGCATCGTCCCCCACTCCTCCTGATGTCGAGGGTAAATGGGCGAGGTTTAGGACTGTGACTCATGCAGCTGCAATGGCCGCTTTGGGTACGTCGTCCAGACCACCCCAGAGACCCTGGCTGACAGAGGAGGTGTTCAGGATAGTTGAGAAAAAGGGACAGGCCCACTGTTATCGGCTACAGAATCCCACGTCAGAGAATGATGAGGCTTACCGCAGCCTTCGCTCAGTGGTTCGGAGAGCCGTGAGGTGCTGCAAGGATTGGGTGGTGGTCGCGGGTTGCTGAGGAGATGGAGTCTGCCTCAGTGGCCCGTGATCACAAATCTCTATTTAACTCCATCAAAAAAGTAACCTGCAGCGCCACACGTTACCATCATTAGGGGGGAAAACGGTGTTCCAATCTCCGACCAGCAGGAATAAGGTTTGCAGATTTGCTGAGCATTTCTGTGAGGTCCTGGGGGAGGGGAAACCCCTCAGCCAGGAAAACATCGTGGCACAAAGTGGGGATGGCCCTGCTGAGGCTGCGGTGCCTCAAATATTGGAAGAAGTCTCCCCCTGTGAGTGGCTGGCTGAGGTGCCATCTGTTGAGGAAGTACTGAAGGCGATCCGGAGTCTGAGACCAGGAAAGGCACCGGGCAGAGATGATCTCCCAAGCGAAATGCTGAGGGAGGGTGGCGTTTGTGCACAGACTGCCCTATATGACATAACAACAGTCTGGACCACTGGACGGGTTCCGCAGGATTGGAAGGATGCCCTGGTGGTCCCCCTCTTTAAGAAGGGGGACCGCACAGACTGTAACAACTACAGGGGCATCTCACTCCTCAGTGTGCTGGGAAAGGTCCTGGCAAGGATTATTCAACATCGCCTTGCCAGGCACGCTGAGTAGAGGCTTGCGGAGCCCCAATGTGATTTCAGGAAAGGGCGGTCCTGCACGGATGCCATATTTTCTGTCTGTCTGCTACAGCAGGGGTGTAGGGAATTCCAACAAGACCTACATCTCTGCTTTATTGACCTGGTCAAGGCCTATGATACCATCAGTAGGCCTGGGCTCTGGGTTGTTCTTCGTGCTTTCGAATTCCCTGACCCCCTGCTCACGATCATTAAGGACCTTCATGATGGTGAGCGGGCCCGGGTAAAACTACGTGGCTGGGAGTCAGAGCCATTCCCTGTACACCTTGGGGTGCGACAGGGATGTCCTCTAGCTCCCACATTATTTAACATCTATTTTGACCACGTAGTTCGTGAAGCCTTCAATAGCTGTACCGGGGGAATCTCCATTTGGTACAAATATAATGGGAGGCTGATCGATGCCCGGGTGCGGTCAAGGGATGGCTCCCTATTGCTCAACCATGTTACGTATGCCGATGATTTGGTAATAGCTGCTCATTCAGAGGAGGAGTTGGAGACGCTGCTGCTGAGACTGGAGCGTGCCACTAAGAGATGGGGCCTTACCATCAGCCCCACCAAAACTAAGCACCTGCCTGGGTATTTTGTACCATCGGACACTCCACCCCCACAGCTCCCAATCGGTGATGGGGCAGTTGTGGAGAGAGTGGAGAGTTTCCCATACCTGGGCAGTGTGCTTATGACCGGCTACAGTTTAACAGCAGAGGTCTCACTCTGAATCAGTCGAGCGGCAATATTTTTTCATCAGTTGCGTAACGCTGTGTGGAAGCTACCTGGTCTGTCGCTCCGCACTAAGCTTCAGGTCTTCTCGGCCACGGTCATTCCCTCCCTTCTCTACGCTTGCGAAACGTGGACCCCCTTAATGGAACATCTTCGCTGGTTAGAAACATTTAGGCTAGCCTGCCTACGATCCATCCTGGGTTTAACCAGGCTGGATTGTGTGAGGAGCTCACAAATCCTTGAAAGATCTGGGCAAGGTCCCATCGGTGAGCTCCTCCGGCAGGCAAGGTTGCGTTGGCTGGGTCATGTAGCCCGCATGCCCAGCCACCGCATGCCGAAACAGCTTTTGTTCGGCCGGATCGAGGGGGCTAAACGGGCGCGGCACAGGCTAGCGAAGAGATGGAGTGATGTGGTACAGGAGGGCGTGGAGCTGAGTGGACTTGCCAATGACTGGTACCAGCGGTATCAAGATCGGTCTCTGTGGAGGAGGCTCGTGAAGGACGCTACTGGGCAGTTGGAGGCAGTAGCCCTCCAACAACAATGGAGGGCGGAGGAGTGACGCTCACAACAACGAGCGGAGCGCCAGGTGGCTAAAGCACAGCAGGTTGGCACAGTAGGGGGCACAGGTGGTGCATCAGCCAGTCATCTCAGTCATCTCAGTCAGTCGACCCGTGGCACCTGGGTCTGCCCCGTGACCTCCTGCCAGCGGGCGTTCGACACTTCACGTGGCCTCAAGGTGCACATGGCCTGGCACAAGCGTCGTGGTGACGTCACCGCCACTTAGTGGCGAATAGCGGTTGTTGTTGCGTGTGTGCCTGTGTGTGCGTGTGGGTCCGTGTGTGTGTGCGTGTGTGCCTGCGTGTGCGCGTGTGCCTGTGTGCGTGTGTGTCTGTGTGTGCGTGTGTCTGTGTGTGCGTGTGTCTGTGTGTGCGTGTGTGTGTGCGTGCGTGTGTGCGTGCGTGCCTGTGTGTGCGTGTGTGTGTGTGTGTGCCTGTGTGTGCGTGTGTCTGTGTGTGCGTGTGTGCCTGTGTGTGCGTGTGTGCCTGTGTGTGTGCCTGTGTGTGCGTGTGTGTCTGTGTGTGCGTGTGTGTCTGTGTGTGCGTGTGTTTCTGTGTGTGCGCGTGTGCCTGTGTGTGCGCGTGTGCCTGTGTGTGCGCGTGTGCCTGTGTGTCTGTGTGTCTGTGTGTGCGTGTGTGTGCGTGGTGTGACTGTGTGTGTGTGCGTGGTGTAACTGTGTGTGTGTGCGTGGTGTGACTATGTGTGTGTGCGTGGTGTGACTATGTGTGTGTGCGTGGTGTGACTATGTGTGTGTGCGTGGTGTGACTGTGTGTGCGTGTGTGTGTCTGGCGAGCGGTAGCGTCGCAGTTAGCGCACGCTGCACTACGAAATTGGCAACCCAAATTAGATTCCCGCTGACGGCCAACACCGGTGACTATTATCTGAACTAGTCCTGGGCCTCCGCTAGGTCGACTCAACCTCAAATAAGTACCTGGTGCGATGTGTAAATATCGCTACTTGGGAGACAAAGGCGGCCGGGCGTGGTGTTGGCCACCCACCCGCTCGTGTGCCGTGTCGTCCTTCATCGGTGCTACTTGCTAACAGCACTCGCCTCTCCAGTCTGTTAAGGCTGCACGGGGGAATCTTCGTCTTTGTTTTGCCTATGTGTGTGTGCACGCACGCGCCAGGTCTGCATTTACGAGATGTCTCAGCGCAGCCACACGCCCAACGACGTGCTGATCATGGCCACGGACGGCCTCTGGGATGTGCTGTCCAACGAGACTGTGAGCGAGGTGGTGCTGGGCTTCCTGGCAAACTGCGACCCCGCCGACGCCAACCGGTAACCCTGGGTGCGGTCTGTACTCGAGCATCCACGCTAGGAGATGTTAACTACCTCGCCTGGTATGCAGGAGGTGTAGTGGGTTCGATCCCGACCTTGACGCCTGCTGCTGCTGTATATTTGGAGTTTATATTTCTCTCTCCGCGTGATCGCGTGGATTTTTCTCCGGGTGCGCCGGTTTTTTCCCTCCGCGCTTAGAATCCACGTCGTGCGTCCAGAGTATTTGGCCGCAATCATACATTTCCGCGTGATAAGCCACGAAGTTAAGCGGTCATTTTTTGACCAGGTCGCTTCTGAAAAAGAGCTACGTAGCTCAGTGGGCCTTACCCGTTAAAATAAAAGAAAATAGTTTAGTTTGAGTATGCAACAGGGGAGACTACATTTGCTTTGTTCACCAAGTTGCCACTGACCATTCCTGTGACGTATGGTCAAACGGCCCCTCCCCCCATCCACAATGGCCAGGTACTAAAAATAGATTTAACACAAATACCTGGGCTGACAGCCGTCGACTTTTTGCTTTGGAGGCAGTATTTTACTTCTGCTGGTGGCCTCTACTACTGGTATCGGAGATAACCGTGTTGCTGAGGAACGATTCCAGAGGAGGATGATGATAATGATGATGATGACATACCACTGTTGATGGGAAACGAAGCAGACAAAAACCAAACCTTAACATTTGTGCAGTCGTTTTTGGTGATCGGGCATAGGATCCAATGTCGTATCTACAGAATCTGATGTTTAGTGGCACAACCACAATAAGTAAAGGTGCAGCCCATGCAATTGCTTGCACATGCCACTGCTGACAGAGAGGAGATCAAACCAGCCACAAAGGGATTCCAAAACCAGTGCACTAACCAATGCATACACAGCAGCATCCCATATATATCGTGCTCAACTAAATATATGTCGGAAAAAATATGAGGACTGACAATGAAAGACACTGGATAAGCCATGGCATGAGGTCGATTGTCAGCCATGGCAAATATCATGGGAAAGCGATATCATGAAATTGTTCTTAATAGCTTAGTGGATGACATACTATATATTTTTTATCGGTGCCGAGTGATCTATTTTCCCCGCGTTGATGAGCATCATGACGAAGTCTGGTCAACCAGCCTCACAACTCCGAAGAGCTGTGCATTATTCGTTATTACGGCTGCTCATCATACCACTGCTGAAGTGATGGGTGGGCTGAGTTGATCCCTGGCGGGCGCGTCATCGGGTACGTGTTGAAGTCTTCACCTATTGGTAGTGAGAACCGAAGCCTCAGAAGCTTTAAGTTAAAGAGGCCAAACCTTCTGGAGGTCTCATCAGAAGCGCGTGACCACTTGATGATGAGAAGGATATTTCCGAGCGTGAATCAACCTTTTCGTTCTCAATCACGAACCCTCGCCAAGCAGCGCCAGACGTGGTGACGTACGTACGAGTCCATAGTATCGATATTCACACAGAATGCCAGATTTTGCGCCGTCCCTTGCCTCGGGAGCTGCTTGTGTAACCGGTATGGGCTTCGTGTAATGAATCACACGTGTAATTGTGAATGGAGATAATGATGACCGTGGATTGGACCCGTAGACTCACGTGACTGCACAGTAGGCCCCATTCACCAGTGGGGTAATGGGTTCAGGGTAGAGGGGGCTCCGATTCAGATTCGGGTGGACGCTGTACAGGGATTTAGCAGTGAGGTGTTGCGTAACGTTGGGGTCGATTGGCGTGCGTCCGGTCGTAATTACAGATGCACGCATGCTCCTCAGAAGAACACTTTGAAATAAAGAGTCGCCGGTCCACAACCCTCTGCTGTCCCTCGGTGGTGGAGTCACTCGACCGTCAAGAGGAGGGCAGAGCACAACGCAGAGTATCCACTCATCATCGCCTTTGAACCCATCTATTGCTGTCTTTATTAGCCGGCCTGTCGCCTCGTTACGATCTACGGGAGGAGAGGGACAGGGCCAGCCGGTTACACGAGCTTTTGGGTACGTTTCTGTCAGGACGAGTTTTTTGGCGATTTCATATTCAGAATCGGAGTCAGAAAGGGTTTTATTCGCCATGAAAGTTCACACAGACACGGAATTTACTTTGGCAGGATGGTGCATACATTCAACATATAGGAATCTAAAATCTTAAATAAGTGGTAAACAAGTCTTACTATAATAAGGGTTCAAAGTCTAACTAACACCTAGGGGCTAAAGTATATAAAATTGAATAAATATCGAATATAAAATAGCTATAAGATACAATCTAAAAATTAAAAAAATACAAATAGGGTAACATAGTTAATATTGGCAAGGTGTAATTTTGTAGATAAAATGTTAAAGTCAGTGTAAGCCCTTGGCCTTGTTGAAGAGGCCAGCAGCAGATGGGAAGAAACTGTTTTTGTGTCGTGAGGTTTTGGTCCTGATGGACCGCAGCCTTCTGCCGGAGGGGAGTAGCTGAAACAGAGAGTGTCCAGGGTGGGAGGAATCGGCCATAATCTTCCTCGCTCGCCTCATGGTCCTCGTGGTGTGCAGGTCCTCGAGGGTTGGTAGATTGTAGGCAATCACCTTCTCAGCAGTGTGGATGATACGCTGCAGTCTGCTCTTGTCCTTGGCAGTGGCAGCAGCGTACCAGACGGTTATGGAGGAGGTGAGGATGGATTCAGTGATTGCTGTATAGAATTGCACCATCATTGTCTTTGGCAGGTTGAATTTCTTCAGCTGCCGTAGGAAGTACATCCTCTGTTGTGCTCTCTTGGTGAGGGAGCTGATGTTCAGTTCCCACTTGAGGTCCCGGGAGAGAATAGTGCCCAGGAAGCGAAAGGACTCTACAGTTTTGACTGGGGAGTCGCACAGGGTGATGGGGGTGATGGGGGTGAGTGGGGCTATATTCTTCCTGAAGTCCACAACCATCTCAATTGTCTTTAGAGCATTTAGCTCTAAGTTGTTCTGGCTACACCAGGTCACCAAGTTATCAGCTTCCCACCTATAGTCAGACCCATCCCCACCAGAGATCAGCCCAATGAGGGTGGTGTCGTCCGCAAACTTCAAGAGTTTGACGGACAGGCCGTCTGGCAGCCCCCCCCCCACCACACTGTTGACGGATTTGTAATCGCGCCTTTTAAGTCGTGAAATGACAATCACTTATCCCAGTTGGAAAACAGGTGTGCGGAATAGGAAATGTCCATCGTAACTTGGCTGTGCTGTGGAAACATATAATAATGGTGTGCATTTTTTTTCCAGCAGATTTTGGGTGCTGTATAAATAAATAAATGCATAAATAGGGAAATATCCCTCTCATCATCAAATGGCCACTTGCTTCTGATGAGACCTTTGAGAGGGTTTGGCTTGTTTAACTTGAGCAAGGATTCCGTTCTAACTACCAATATGTAAACACCTAAACACATACCCGGCGACAGGCCAGCGGTGTGGACCCCCATCGTTCGATCCACGCTGGACAGCCCCAAAAATATTTTTGGCACCAACCAAGCCAAGCCCTGGCTACTTACTCAGCTGCTTTTTCTATCTCTTAGTGAGGTCAATATCACAGGTTTTTGTTGAGCCCCATAGCAATAACATATAAATGTTATACATTCAAAATACAGTCAAACCCGCGCTGTGCGTGGAGTTTTGGATTCGCGAGTTTCACATATTCGTGAGTTACTAAAATGTATATTCTCATTCCCTATTCGCGACCCTCCGGACTCCGGTACTCGCGAGCGTGCGTAGTGCCAGGCCACCCACACTGGGGAGGTGCACGCAGAATGTTGCTACATTTGAAGCTGTCTGCGAAGATTAGGTACGTCGCCTCAGCTGCCCGCTTAGTCTTCAAGCCTCGCAGTAATCCCGCTCCGAACTCGCTATTGTGCATTTTTGCTTTATACGTGCTACTTGCAGCCGACTCGTTTGTACATTTTGGTATAGACAACTGACGCAAATGCAATCGGGCAAAGTGCTTGCGGCAAGAGCTCCCCCAGAGTGCTAGAATGATAACGACTGTGTGGCATTGTAATCATCAAACACCCTGCAGCTCCTGAGGAGTCATCCTCCTGAATTCCTCACCACCACCACCTCCGTCGTCGTCAAATCAGCATCATCAAAGATACATTTTTTAGAGTGTTATTTTTTTATGATAGTCATTGTTATTAAACATTTGCTATTCCCCCCTAACTGCGTTCACTTGCACCAGGAACGTCGCCCCATTTTTCCCCCGTGGAACAAAGTTTCTGCATTTTCAAGAACGTAACCCTCGTGGATAGAGAGGGTTTACTGTATTCTATTAAGAAAGCACGTCCATCTCTCTCTATATATATACAAAACTGTGAGAGCCTGGTGACCTACAATTATCTGCATGTAATAACTAATTTGTCTCGGATGTTATTTTCTACGCTGTGTCTCCAAGGTGCGCTGCGTCCCGTTTGTAATGAGGTGACCCCCGTAATCATCACCGTGAGGGAATCGTGATGAGACACTGCAGCTGAACTGCGCGTTCTGGAAAATAATTAGGCATGTTATATATTTAAGCATGGAGTTGTCCGATTATTACCTCGCTACGAAATAGTGACATCGGCACACAGGCAGATGGACAAAACAAACAGACCAATAGGCTGAGAGACGGGCAGGCGAACACTTGAGACTGGGAGGTTCAAATCCCGGTCAGGGTTAATGCAGTCCCATCCATTAACCATGAGCAGCAGCACAGTGTGTCAACTTCAGCACTGGGGTGACGAAAAGGGGGGGCAGGCGTGCTGTGCAGGCCTGCACATGTGCTCGCTTGACAGCACTTACCGCAACAGTCTGTTAAAAGCGATGTGTGTATACGTTGAACTTCTCTCGCACCGTACGTAGCCAACTGCGCTAATCGGAGGTGCAGGGGAAGGGCAACAAACGTAACGCAATCGGTTGTAAAGAAATCAATTTGCAATCTAGATTTCAAAGTCAATAGCTCCCAGTGGCTTCCTAATAACGGAGTGAAGAGCGTTCCAGACGGCAGCAGAAGCGCATCTGAAAGCGCGCAATGCCGTGACCATCATTGCCCGGTGGCCAGCCAGAAGCCGCCGCCGCCGCCGTGAAGATGTCCTTGTGCCCGGCAGGTACACGCTGGCATCGCAGGAGCTGGTGATGAAGGCGCGTGGCGTGCTGCGCGAAAAGGGCTGGCGCATCACCAACGAGAAGCTGGGCTCCGGCGACGACATCACCGTGTTCATCATCCCGCTGCACCACGGCAACAACCGGTCGGCATGAGACGCGGGCGGGCCGGCGGGCCGGCGGGCCGGCGGGCCGGCGGGCCGGCGGGCCGGCGGGCCGGCGGGCCGGCGGGCGCCACCGCGGCCGCACCGCGGCGTGGCCGTAGCCGCTTTTGGCGTCGCTTTGCTGTTTTAGGCCGTCGCTTTTGCTACCGCGATCGATCGTGGCAACGGCGGCGGGGGACCGCGTTGTGGGGGGGGGGAGGGGGTGGAAAGGGGGGGGGGGGGGGGCATGTGGTCGGGTCCGCGGGTAGCGATGTCGTTTATGGACACCCCCCCCCCCCCCCCCCCGCCCGCCCCTTGCGGTGACGCGGGCGGCGGGCATCCGTCTCGGGCGTTGCGCGACGATACGCGCCGTGTACGTGTCCTGTGTCCGGTGTTCACTCGTGGTGTCTGGCGAGGACCCTCCTCCTACTTTGGGCGGTTTTTTGTTCGCGACCCCCCCCCCCCCCCCCCCCCGGAGTTGGGTGTGCGGCGTGCTCACAGAGCCAATTCCGAAATCGATGTCACGGAACCACATTCGGTCAGCTGTCGCACTCGGCCCTGTCTGGCGGAGTCACTCGGCGCCCTGTCGCTCGCCGACGCGACGCTCGGGGCAAGTTGTTAGGATCCCGGCGACCCGCGCGTCCATAGCAATAGCGGACCAAAGGTGTGGCACGATGCGTTTGTGGTTTTATCCCCGTCCATGCGACATCGTGTGTTCCAGCTCGGTCCCAGGTGCCACGTGCAAAGACCCTTCTCTGCACGTGCGCTGGGCGGCAGCGATGGCCTTAGGAGAGATCGCGGGATATCTTGGAAGCGTTCATCCTCTCTGTTTCATAACTGGCAGATGTTTTGGCATTGAACTGTTTTGTGGTTGTCAATCATGGGAAGAGAGCTCTTAGGATTGGACTGACATTAATTCTGGAGATGCAATTGGCATGAACCCTGCTGATTCCTGCCGGCTTCATGCCAGCTGACGAGTCTCGACGCGCATAACTTTGAAGCAATAGCGCAGCGGGGAATTGATGAGGTCAGAGCTGCACCTGAGGCTGACGCAGAGCAACAACGTAAGTACAAAGTGCCTATTCTGGTTATTGAATACCCATTCTCGACGAGTAAAAATTCACCACAACTGCACGCACATAGAGACGGGCAACAGTTTTACCAACACCATGTGATTTTGTTTCCAGCTGCGTGGCCTGTCCACACCCTTTTGAAGTTGTACATCTTGCATGCGAATGAGCGCAGTTAAACACACCGTTTTATTCACTGCAGTCTCCTGTAGGTGTTGCCTTGTTTGAACGCGTGTATTTTTGATGGCAAGTGTCTTCTCAGAGGCAATGGCGGGCATTTTTGTTTGTGCCTGGCTGTTGAGAGGCCTCGCTAGTGACACCTTTAGTTTGTTCGACGCCGCTTTTAGATCCCACCGTCGTCAACCGTAGAAACATTTCCTAGGGGAATCTTTAAAAGCAGCTCGCGGCAAACACGTGCGCAAACGTTACCGATGGCCGTGCCTTTGTTGGCAAGCGTAGCACGTCGTTTGCTGGCCTTGTCGTAAAAAATGTGGACAATCTGAATGCTTGCTTGCCACAAGCAAGGCCCTGTTGGCCGACCTGCGGCGAAGCGGTGCGTGGAAAGCTTCACATCCCAGCATTGGCTTTGCCGGGCCAATGGCGCGTCACGCACCCCCCCCCCCCCCCCCCCCCGCTTTTTCAAGCGACTGCGTGGAGCATTGCCCCCCTCTACCCGACGTGGCCCAGGGACCAGGCACCACGTGACACCTTCCCCCCACCGCTTGCGCGATATCACCTCCAATGGTCAGCCTGGAATTAACCCCCCCCCCCCCCCATAATAAACATTGTGGTTGACAACAACAACAACCCATCCAGTGGTCTACGACAGATTGGGTGGGTATGACTCTGCTGGACCACGTGTGGCTTCATTGGTTGTCGTTGCAAATCTAAAGTCATCGCAGTCCTCCGCTTTGTAGTCAATGAGAGTACATCATGAACCAAAAAAAAAACCATCCAAAACAATCCAGAAACCTTTAAAAGAAAAAAAATGTGTTATGACTGTACCTTGTTTTGAGGATACGTTGTGTGTGCTCTGTTGTAGTGATGTGGCTCCTGCCTATAATGTGGGAGCAGGCGGATCGCTCGACGAATTATTGCTCGGCGGGCAAAACCTGGGCCTGAGAGCAGGGCCGCCCTGTGTCCCCATCGCTTCAAGACGCGAGCCACTCTGTTCAGCGCAAGAGCAAACGGATTAGACGTACAAAGTCCTTGTTGTCGTTAACACTTCTCTTCATTACTGGTCTGACCATTCCATTCGGTTGCCAGGAATGGCACAAACTGAGCGTGTGAATTTAGAAACTTTCCTTTTGAAATAGTTGCAACATTGAAGCGATTCCCCTTTAACGCTCACAACTTAACTTCTCAGATATGCTCGTGTGCCGGAGAAGTATTCCAACAACAAAAATGCATTGCCAAAATACAACTGAGCACGCTTTGTTATTTTAGTTTTTTAGTTGCATTCAAAGTAATGCAACAACGTGTTATGTTAAACAAAAAAAACTTGATGTATCCGTTTCAATAAGAAAATGTGAATGTTGATATTGTTATTTAATGTGTAGCCAAAACACTTAAGTACATCAAGACCTGAGAATGAATAATGTACATGTTCTCTGTTGCAAATTAACGCTGTACCCAAATTGCTCATCTGCCCAGTTAAAAGAGGCACACCACACGCAACAATGCAAGTCGCAACAGCGACTGGCGACAAAGCTGTCCGTTCAGCGTAGTGGCTAGGGTACGTTGATGTACGTATGTTGAACTTCTTTTGCGCCGTACGTAGCCAACCGTGCCCATTGGAGGTACTAATCGGACCTATGTCCCAATGTGTCTCACGAACGCGCCCGTCCACAAGGAGTTGCCAGTTATTGATTCATGCAGCTGCCCGGCAACAACAACAATAACGGAGGATTGCCACGTTCTGTGGTGTTCGGCACGGTGACCTTAAAGGCCCCTGTCACATCATTTCAGTTGTAAGTTTATTTTGAAGTACCCTGTGAGCTCAGACGCTCTTGAATCGAGTTTCGTCAGCAAAGGGCATCGGTTCCCTAGCAAACATAACAGGTCGCAAGAAAAATAAAAAAATAAAAACATAATGAAGGGGGGAAAATGGAAACAAATCACAATCGTGCGCGGCGGCTAGGCAACAGCATGCCACTGGTGTGCCACCCAAAATAATCGAAGGTAAAAACTCGTTTGCGAACATAAAATTAATAACAGTCAATAACTGTCACTAGCTTGTCTTGAATATATATAAAGACAACGGTGTAGCTTCTCGCTGGGCTCCCGTGCATTTCCACAAATTACATCGTTGGCATTGCTTGAGAGTCGAGGCCCCGGTCTCTTAAAAGTCTCAAAACTGAATCATGACACAGCTGTCAAACCTCTGGAGAGATGAGCAAAGTGCACTTCTTAAGATGCCTTTCGCCCTCTGATTCAAAACACGGGAGCTGTTGGTTTCATTTTGAGTTGAATCCTGAGTGTTGCTTGATAAAATGAGCGATTGAATAACAGGCAGACGCAAAATCCCAATTACTTATCTATGTGATAATTATTTAAGAACAGTTTTGTTTACAAACGTTTGCAAATAACGGTGCACATTGTTCATTTAATGTGTGTGTAATTTATGGGCATGCTGTATTCGTCGAGCAGTAAATGTTGTGCTTCTCTGCTTCAAGTAACTTATTTAGATTTTGCGTTTTGTAATAGGTTTGTTTCTGCACACCGGTATTTATATTACGCGTGCCAATTATTTATTTACTGAAAAGCACCACATTGCACAGGGCAAACGAATCCACATTTGGGCTTTCGAAAATAGCCGTCGTTAGTTTACTCCACGTAATTTTAATACGGCAAATTTAAACTTGAAGCTTTCGTGGCTGCAGGAGTTACTCTTTGGTTCTTTCGGTAAAGTCTGTCATGTGTGTGTATCTCTCTGTGTGTATCTGTGTGTGTCTCTGTGTGTCTCTCTGTGTGTGTCTATGTGTGTGTTTATGTGTGTGTCTCTCGCTCTGTTTGTCTCTGTGTGAGTGTCTGTCTGTGTGTCTATGTGTCTCTCTCTGTGTGTCTCTGTGTGAGTCTCTCTCTGTGTGTCTTTGTGTGTGTCTATGTGTGTGTCTCTGTGTGAGTCTCTCTCTGCTTGTGTGTGTCTCTCTCTGTTTGTCTCTGTGTTAGCCTCTCTCTTTGTGTGTCTCTGTGTGAGTCTCTCTCTGCTTGTGTGTCTGTTTGTGTGTCTATGTGTGTGTCTCTCTCTTTGTGTGTCTCTGTGTGAGTCTCTCTCTGCCTGTGTATCTCTATCTGTCTCTGTGTTAGTCTCTCTCTTTGTGTGTCTTTGTGTGAGTCTCTCTCTGCTTGTGTGTCTGTCTGTGTGTCTATGTGTGTGTCTATCTCTTTGTGTGTCTGTGTGAGTCTCTCTCTGCTTGTGTCTCTGTGTGTCTATGTGTGTGTCTCTCTCTGTCTCTGTGTGAGTCTCTCTCTGCTTGTGTGTCTGTGTGTGTGTCTATGTGTGTGTCTCTCTCTGTTTGTCTCTGTGTTAGTCTCTCTTTGTGTGTCTCTGTGTGAGTCTCTCTCTGCTTGTGTGTCTGTGTGTCTGTGTGTGTGTCTCTCTCTGTTTGTCTCTGTGTGAGTCTCTCTCTGCTTGTGTGTCTCTGTGTGTGTCTCTCTCTGTTTGCCTCTGTGTGAGTCTCTCTCTGCTTGTGTGTCTGTCTGTGTGTCTATGTGTGAGTATCTTTCTTTGTCTCTGTGTGAGTCTATCTCTGTCTGTGTGTCTCTGTGTGTCTCTCCCTGTTTGTCTCTGTGTGAGTCTCTCTCTGCTCGTGTCTGTCTGTGTGTCTCTGTGTGTGTGTCTCTCTCTGTTTGTCTCTGTGTGAGTCTCTCTCTGCTTCTGTATCTGTCTCTGTGTGAGTCTCTCTGCTCGTGTCTGTCTGTGTGTCTGTGTGTGTGTCTCTCTCTGTTTGTCTCTGTGTGAGTCTCTCTCTGCTTCTG